TAAAAAACCGAAGGTTGGTGGCTCGATCCTATTGGCGGTCAACCTCCTCTGGATCCCCAAGTAGCATGGAGACACAGGGAAAGTGCAATCAAAGTGTTGGGGGTGAATCTCACCACTATGGGCCCCCCTCCAGATCATGGGGATTCGCTCACTGGGATGCCAAACATATATCGCTCGTAGGGAGAGTCCTGACCATTAACAATGCCATTTTCGCCTCCATCTGGTACAAAGGTGCCTTTTGGCAACTTAAAGGTAAACAGCTCTCTAAGGCGACATCAGCCTACCTGTGGAAAAACAACCACAATGACACCCACACAATAAAGAGGGTGGCATGGGACACTATAGTACAACCCAGGTCCCAAGGTGGTTTGGGAATCATCGATCCAGAGAAAGACATTAAGGCCGTCATCTTCAAATTTCTCGTGTGCTTCCTTTTTGGAAATGACATCCCCTAGGGCACCTACGCACAAATTCAATTGTTCTGTCTGCCCCCCCCATCTCATCCCCTCCATCCGGCGCACCCTCTCCAATGGTTAACAAATAACTGGTGGTCCACCCCTCACCGTCCCCGTTCAGACATAGACGACACTCCTGCAGTACTCGCTAAGCGAGACCTCAAGGTGCATCCACTCCGGACAGCCATGCTCACCCTATAGCTATGTAACACCCGCGGACGCGTCCGCGGGGTCAGTTCGGATCGCGGACCCAAATGCGTCCGCATCTACGGCCTACCTGGTCCGCACCGCAAACCCGATTTTACATGAATTTTCCTGAATTAAATAATAGGTAAAAATATATACATATTGGGTTGTAGGGAATTTTAAGCCGTACAACCCCATTTTTTTTTTTTTGAATCCGACTTTGTTTAGGATTTTTAAAAAATCAAAAACGAAATTGGATTTACCTGTAATTTTTTAGAAATGAATTTATGTTTTTTGCAGAAGTATGTGGTGTTTTGAAAAAATGCAGATGCAAAATTAAAAAAAAAAAAAAAAAAAAAAGGGGTTTGATTGATTGATTGATTGATTGGTGGTGGGGGCGGAGTCACCCCAACCCCCCGCCACCCACCACGTGCCACACACACACACACACACACACACACACACACACACACACACACACACAC